AGAGAGAGAGAGAGAGAGAGAGAGAGAGAGAGAGAGAGGGAGAGAGAGAGAGAAATTGTGATAGAGCGAGCAAATAAAAGTGAGTGCGATAGAACGAATGTTAGTTAAGTGTTAGTGTGGGTGTGTGGAGGTATAAGTTTGGGTCCCATATGCATGGGTCTGTGTATGTTTGTGTCTGTGTGTGTGTGCATGTGCATTCACGTCTGTAGCTGTGGGTATACCATGCAGGGACAAGAGAGATGACGTCACATGGAAGTACGTGGAGCCATCTGAGCAGACCGGCAAGTTCCAGCCAGACCGCAAGGTGTTCATCAACGTCATAGGCAACACACTGGGATGCAGGTAAGAGGCTGATGCGCGGACGCTGGAGCAGGTGTATGAATTATTGATTCAAGTCTGAGCACATGCTATGTGTGCCCTGCTCATTGCTTCAGCCTGCAGTACATATTTATACAGATGCGCCCGCGTGTGTGCGTGCGTTTGTGTGGGTGTGTATATTTGACCTTTACTTTCGCTGTTATACCTTGTATCTTCTCTTAGTTATATTAAAATATTTAGGATACATCTTTAAAAGATATTAAATGCGAATTGCAGGTGGTGGCAACAGTTTCTATACATGCACACTTTCCAAATATTCATAGTCATGCAGCTTCTTTCATGCAAGGTTTATAAGCCATACGGTATTCCCTTGTTTAACTGTTTCAGTAAGGATCCTAGATTGCAGTTTTTTAAACAGCAATTATAAAAATCCTTTAGGACCGTGTCTTCGTGCCTTCCTTCCGCCAATGTCTTCTCATCATGTCAGTAGAGTTTAGCGTCCGACCGTGGAGGAGGTCGTAAAACAAGTGAGCGTGGTAATGTGCTAATCGCTTGCGGGTGGTGACAGCCTCTTGTCGTCTTGCAGCGTGACGAGCGGCCCGCCGTACAACCCGGGCATCTTCATCCAGGGTGCGCGCGGCGGCGGGCTGGCGGAGGAGGCGGGACTCGAGGTCGGGGACCAGCTCATCGAATGCAACGGCACCAGCTTCGCCAACATCACGCACGCCGACGTACGTACGACGCGGCTGCCGCCAGGGGGCGCTCACTCAGCCGACCGGGGAACGTTCTCGCAATGGCGTGGACCTCACCCGCCCTGCTGTCTGACGTTGGATTACTCTGGTGCATTCGCTGGGGTGGGGGGGGGGAGAATTGATTGCTGTGCTGAGTGGGGTAGAGAGGGTGAAAACTGGTGGATGTTTCTAGTGGATGCGTGGACAAGAAATGCTAAGAACTGCTTCTTTCTTTCTCGAGAATTATGTGAACCACTTGATATGATTCAGAAGACACGGTACGAACTCTAGAAACACTTTTTTCCAGCTCGATAACATGAACTACTTGATTTTTTGCGTGCAAACTTTCTGTTTCGTTAGCCACGGCAGCGTTTCAAAGCTTAGCGATGTTGTCGTGTATATAGACGTACATATATGTGAAGCGTTTACGTGTGTTACAGGCTGTGATGTGCCTAAAGTCGAGGAAGCAACTGTCACTGGTCGTTCGTAAAGGCGTGGTGAGTGATGGCAATCATATCAAAGTGTTTATGTGTTAGAAACGTTAGACCTAACATCGTCAGGAATAGTTGCCGATCTGAAGTCTGCATTGTTAGAAGTACCCGGTGAAGTGGTAGATGCTAGTAGTTTTGTGCCGGTAATCTATGGATACGTGGGTGACAACTGAGATAGTGCTCCAGCAAGGCTGCCCTAGGTGACTCTCCCATGTCTTTACGTCTTCACGGGAGATGTGAACTATAGAGCAGAGCTCTATACCAGCGGCCCGTTATCAGAAACATCTTAAAGTTGAGGCTAATTTAAAGACAAATTTTGTTTCTGAGAGTGGGCCCTGGGCCAAGCCTTCATGTTTGTTCCTGACAAATGGTCTAGTGCACATACTTATATTTAATTTATACTGGAAACACACATTTCTGTACGTTAGTTTGAACCTTGAAAATATTCGTGGTGTACATAGGTGCAAGTGCTTCTTTGGAAGTTATGTGCATTCGTGCATGTTGAATGTTGACGGCATGTCGATGTTTGTTTGCAGGGGCTGGATATGTTTGACCTGAGTGACCAACAGTCTGTAAACACACTGACCAGTCGGATGACCACTGGCACGGTGAAGTCCAGACAGTCGAGAGAGTCTGAGCGCACCCTCCAGGCCGGTGGGAGACAAAGACGTATGAGGTAACACATATACCATAGCCTTTCTGGTTAAAACTAATATAAATCAATTTAATAATTTAAAATAAAAAACATTTATATATTATTTATTTATATTTAATAATGAAATGCTAATTAATTTACTATTTAAATATATTAATTAATTAATGACAACTAATTTATAATAATAATATATAATATCATGGTCACGACTTGTGGCTGTGAATGTGTTTGAGGATGTAGCGAATGCTCGTGGTTGTGAGGGTGAATTCAGATATGGGAGTGGCTGAGCGAACGGTCGTGAGTGTTAATTTTTTTAAATTTTGTTACGCATGCTTCAACTCGGTTTCGAGTTTGTGCCATCTCGTCATGCTTACTCGTATGTGTGTGCGTTGCAGTGCGAGCAGTGTGGGTAGCATGGCAGAGTCAACGGTGATCATGGCTGACGTACACGCAGACACGGACACACGACTACGACGCACCGGCAGCGGCCGCAGCCAGCAGCTCAGCATCGGTAACCATACAGAGTGCTTACTAGTAGTTCAACAAGAGTGTGTGTGTGTGTGTGTGTGTGTGTGTGTGTGTGTGTGTGTGCGTGTGTGTGTGCGTGTGCGTGTGTGTGTGTGCGCGCGTTCACGTGTGGGTACAGGTGTGTGTGTGTGTGTGCGTGTGTGTGTGCGTGTGTGTGTGTGTGTGCGTGTGCGTGTGCGTGTGCGTGCGCGCATGTGTGTGCGCGTTCACGTGTGGGTACGGGTGTGTGTGTGTGTGTGTGTGTGTGTGTGTGTGTGTGTGTGTGTGTGTGTGTGTGTGTGTGAGCGTGCGTGCGTGCGTGCGTGCGTGTGCACGTACACGTGCGTGCATGAGTGTGTGCGTGCGTGTGCAAGTACGCGTGCGTGTGTACGTACATCGTACTACTACTAGTGCTGCCTCCTATCGTGTAGGTTAAGCTAACTCGAGTTAAGCGTTTACACGGGCCTTAACTCGAGTTAAGGTAACTCGAGTTAGCTTAACCTCGATCGACTGGCGAGGTTAAGCTAACTCGAGTTAACGCTAACTCGAGTTACCTTAACTCGTGTTGAGGCCCCGTGTAGACGCTTAACTCAAGTTAAGGTTCGTCGTGTAGACGTAGCTAATATAGTGTGTGATACGTTGCGTGATTCAGCATGTAATACAATGTAATGCAGTGTGATACAGTGTGTAATAAAGCACGTGATACAGCGTGTGATGCATGTGATACAGCATGTAATAAAGCACGTGATACAGCGTGTGATGCATGTGATACAGCATGTAATACAGCGTGTGATGCATGTGATACAGCATGTAATACAGTCTGTGTATTGATGCTGCAGGGTGTGAGCATGGCACTGACATCTTCGTTACCGACGTCATACGGGAGTCACAGGCCGACAACCAGGGTCTGAGGGTTGGTGACCAGATTGCCAGAGTCAACGGCTTTGCGCTGGACAAAATGACGCACAACGAAGCTCTGAGTTTGATTCGCCAGCGCACCCACCTCATCCTGAAAGTCAGAAGTAAGTGGGGAATACACGTATGAGAGTGTGGTGTTCCATGCAGCTTGGGGTAATGCTGGCGCCATTGTATGAGTGGTTAGCTAGGTTGGGTATAGCTCTAGAACTATAGCCCTTCGCTCTGCCACACCCTGTGGCAGAGTGAATGGCTATAGTTTTAGAGCTAGGTTGGGTGGGGCTTGCGGGGGTCGTCTGTCAGTGCTGTGAGGGTGAGTATGTTGTGCGCGAGGTTATTATGTCATGGGTCAGGGCCGTCGCCAGGGATTGACTAATGGTGAAGCCCAGTCATGAAGGCGCAAAGCGCCCTAAAGGGGGAGAGTGTGTGAGGGAGTTTCCCCCTCTCCTTGGTGGCGGTCTGAGGGGCCTTACCCAAAAATCTTTGAAGTGCTAACATGGAAAATGGTGTATGCTGGCGAGTTTTAAAATGAATTTTTAACATGTGAAACACAGTAGAAAGTACGTTGCAACTGTTTAATTGCATTTTTTTTTTTTATTTGAAAATAATGTTGAAGCCTGAGCTTCCGGGCCTCCGTCTAGCGACGTGCACACACGATGTGCACACGCGATGTGCGTTACACGGTTATATTTACATTGCCAGCATTGAGCAAGTGAGGGTGTGTGACGGTTGCTGATTACCACGCATTTGTTTTTTTTGCAGGCATTGGAATGCTACCTGTTAAATTGTAAGTAATACTATATCGCGTCTACACGGTTAGAAAATGAGATAGAGTGAGGGGAAGAGGAAGGGAGAGCGTGACGTTGGAAGAAAGGAACATTGTAGAGAGAGAGAGAGAGAGAGAGAGAGAGAGAGAGAGAGAGAGAGAGAGAGAGAGAGAGAAGTGCGTGCGTGCGTGCGTGCGTGCGTGCGCGCGTGTGTGTGTGCGCGCGCGCGCGTTTGTGTGATAGATGGAAGTTATGTTGACTTTACTACGTGTATAACCTTGACTTGGCATCGGCGTGTCTCGTGACTGCGCCCTGTCAAAAGGTATCGTAGACAGTGAACAGTCACCACATGCTGGAGTTATTACTACTATGTTTTCTCGTCTATAATTGCTCGGGTTTTGAATCCGATCGAGCGTGGACCTAAATTCCAGCAAGTTTAGCAATTAACCCGTCATGTAAATTATGCAAAAACGTCGCGCCCTGCGCTCGGGCTACGAGAGATTGATTGGAAAGTTTTTGGACACGGCCGATAAATTTTGCAGTGACTGTTGTTGAGCAATAACGTTGAGCAGTAACGGTCTGTGGGGGGTCACCTTGCAAGCATGTGGCAAGGTGGAGTATAGGAGGGTGCATGCCGCCGTAGGTTACGTGGCCCGGTATTTGAATACCAGCGGACTGCTATATTCCCTCCCGCGCAGGTGAAAGCAAATATACATTGCCAAAAGCGAACCCGAATATGTCAAACCAAATCTCGAGCCATAACGCGAAAGTAAAAACATATCGAACAGGGGGAGGCTGGGTGGGGGAACTACGGGACGTAGTTCCAACTGAAGGTAACATGTAAGCCATAGCTGGAAAGGCCACACGTTACCTTTTCACTAAGTGAAACAGTCGCAGAGCCTGGTCAGGAGGTGCAGAGATTGGGGGTTAGGCTATACAGGAGATAGGGTGTTAGGCTATACATGAGATAGGGAGGCGGTCCGGGGCGGTCCGTAGTGACTCCGTGCTGGGGCCGGCTTTATCCGGGCTCAATCCAGGATGGTCCGTGGCGCTGCCGTGCTGGTCCGGCCCGATCCGGCCCGATGATGCTTTTTTTCACCCGGATTGCCACGGATTATAAATTTTACGGTCCGGGGAGATCCTGCCCCATCCGCGGTAATCCGTGGACAGTCCGGCCCCAGTGTGACTTTAGCTTTAGTGTGTTCGTGTGTTCGCGCGATCGATATTAGCACGTCGAGTCGTATGGCGTATGGCGTATGTCGTTGGCGGTCGATCGATATCACCCAGCGAGCCAGCGAGTCAGCAAACCAGCGAGCCCAGCGAGCCAGCTCGTAACACATACATGTTACATGGGAGCGTGTACATGTCAGTACACTGGCGTATATCGTGGGTTATTCGTGTGTTCGTGAGTCGTATGGCGTATGGCGTATGTCGTCTGCGGAGGTATGCACTCCGTGAGTGCAATCTGTCTAGTTATGTATGTGAGAATGCCTGTGGATCTGTGGATGTGAGGCTGAGTTTTGGTATGGAAATGGGAGTGTCAATCTTTGTGTGTGTGTGTGTGTGTGCGCACGTGTGTGTGTGTGCGTGCGTGTGTGCGCACGTGTGTGTGTGTGTGCGTGCGTGTGTGCGCACGTGTGTGCGCACGTGTGTGCATGCGTGCGTGCGTGCGTGCGTGCGTATGTGCGTACGTGCATGCGTGAGAGAGAATTAGTTATAATATCCGTCTTGCTATTACAGTCTAATGCGAGTAGCCATCGTCCCGTTACCCTGCTCCCCATGGAGGCCAAGAGCAGTGGCCAGCGGTCGGATGGAGTTAAGCGCATGAACGGCAGCCAACGAGCAGACAACAGCCAACGAACGAGCATTGGTCAGCGAATGAACAGCGGTCAACAAATAGAGAAGAGCAGTTACATGCAGATTGACAGCCTTTCGTCTGCCTCTGGCAGCAGTGGTTACTCGTCTGAGCAGGGACGCAGTACAAAGCTTAAAAGGTAAGCTAGCTGTATGGTCACCAGATGGTTCTGGGGAGTCCTATTAGTCTTTACACTAGTTCTGTGATTCTGTGTCTTGTAGTCTTGTCTTGTAAGTCTGTTGTCTACAATTCTTTGATTTGGTGCAAAATTGGTCATGAGGACGTAGTGGTGGCATTTCATCTTGCTATGTGTGTTATTATGTTTTTTTCAGTACAAATTTGGCAGACCCAGAAAAGGTGGACTTGTGCAAATTGGTGAGTGAAAATGTTTATTTATCAGTGTAGCTGTATGGTGACTGTTATGCGTTTTAACGGTTATTTCTAGTTATAGATGTCATGATTTTATTCTAATGTTTATTATGCGTTACATGGTTATTTTTTTGATTACATGGCAAACTACATTTATGCAGTTCACGCCCTCGCAGGTCAACGGTAGAGAACTGAAGACGCTGACTTACACCAAGGTGAGCTGCCTGTCACATTTTTAGCAATGTCTCAAGCAACGTGAGCTGACACAATCGTCACCATCACAACACTGCTTCCTCATTCCATCATTCCACTTTCTGAATCTGCACCTTATAATTAAGATTTTAGAATCTAAGGCAGGGCCGTAGCTAGCGGGGGCAAGGGGCGGTTGCCCCCCCCCTCAGTATAAAGTAGATACAGTACATGGTTAATGGCGGTCACCTTCCCAGAACACACCATACACATGGCTGTGCCTCTCCAGGAAAAACGGGTTAGCTACGTACGCTCCTAGGCTATTGTCATATTTATTATGGTAAAATTAAAATCCAATTAAAGTCAACTTAGTTTCCACTGTGTCACAGACGAGGTTTTATTCATTATTTGTTAAGTCGTTATGACTAGCTGTATGTGTTTCTTCTCTTGCTGCCCTTGCAATATGGACGAAACTAATAACAGAGAGTGAGTATTGCTGTTATCATGGTATAGATTAGTTGAAAAATAGTTTGTAATACTAATATAATAGATCCAAGCGCTGATTTCATATACAGCCAAATGAATTGTATTTTCGTAAGTTTTTCAAGTTTTCGTCGAGTAATTTTGTTAAGTTACCAACGACAGGCTGTGTTAAACTTCCATGTGTCCGTTAGTTTCATTGTGATGGGGAGCAGCATAATCAGGAATCATATAGCCTGTGATTCGTGACACGTGTCGTGCTTTTGGTCACATAAGAAGGTGACTGTCATTGCTGTGATTAGTAATGCTGGCTGATGTGTGTGCAGGAGGGACCGCTGGGTGTCGCGTTGGAAGGCGGGACGGACTCGAAAAAGCACAACGGCAGAGTCGTGGTCGCTGAGATCTTCCCGACTGGGAGCATTTACAAATACGGTGAGTCGAAGAGGTTGCAGGCAGTGGGACGGTAGGAAGCGGGGAAGCCATGGTATTGTCCATATGTGGGGCATGCAGGGGCACGTGGTAATGTAGAACTGTGAGGCTGGGACAGCTGAACTGTAGGCATGCTACTTTTAAATATACATGGCCTATTACGCATACCGAGTGCGTACAGCAGCATGCAGCACTATCCTTACATCGAAGACTGTGAGTTCAATATGCTGAGCAAACCCTAGAGATATTGAAAAGATGAATCCCCAACCTAGGTGTGAGTGCTGACTCCAACATATAAATACGATAATGTATATACAATGTATATAATATATATACGATAGATATAACACGATGCGATACCCCACATGGTATGTACGTCTACTCTATATCATTATTATATCGATGCAGGTGGTCTGGAAAAGGGCAGCCAGCTGATGATGGTGAACGGGCGATCTCTGCTAGGCATCACACTCACGCAAGCACAGGAGGTGCTAAAGGAGGTCATCCTGGGGCCTGGCGACTCCCTCACCCTCGTAGTCGCCACGCAGAAGAAAGACGATGACACGTAGGTTACCAGACAGTGAGAAAGGAGGGAACGGGGAGGGCAGTCATGTCAGTAATGCGAGACATGAGCAGGAGGCGACTGTGTCAATGTGCCTGCTGTAACTTTACTTTGTGTGCAGTGCATGCATCCATGGGCATGCCCTTGTGTAAATCATGAAACTGTGTTATTCCAGAACCTACCTGTAAAGAGCCCAGGCAGCAGAAGCCAGAAAGTCACATCAGTGGCTTTACCAGGCAACACGGTAGTTCATGGAGCAAGAACCTCAACAGTCAACATGAAGTCTCAATGAATAGCATCTCGTAGCTACCATCCATTACCAGGGCTGTAATAATTCAACTGTTTTCATCTGAGTTTGTTATGACCAAACCATATTCATTTGTCAGCGTCACAGTTCTATGCGATGGTATGCACGCAGCATAGATACATCAATTTGCTGCTAGAGGGATCAATGAAATCGCGTGCAGCTGATAGCACAGGCATCGCATCAGTATCATTAACGGCAGACGATATATGTTTTCATCGTTAATAGCCTTTGTAATAATGCGAGGCTATGTCAACAACAGTAAGGCATAGCCTACTGCTGTGTCGATCACGTCAGCAGTCATTCTGTCACTGCTAATGCAGGCGCTTATTTTTAACAGAGTTACATTAAGCACACGTAGCTCGTTTGAAATACGATATATTTTTGTTTCTAGTTGTATATACGCGTAAAATGGTAAATATAGAACTTGTTGGTCGCTCAGTACGTGCGCGAATGTGTCCTCAATATAATATATACGCGCTCAAGTAGAAGTTTCTACCCTCCACTATAGCCAGTGTATATGATTCCATTCTGATTCCCATGCCGAACATTCCTGTCACTAGTTTTCTCTGCGTAAGCACTTACACTGGCTCTAAAGTTAGACCCCCTGTGAAGTTATAAATAAAGTTAATATACGATATTAATGAGTGTTTACTAGAGACGTGACGTATCGCCAATAGGTTGTACTGAATAAGTACGTTATAGGTTCGTTACATCGATTCATTACTGGTGTCCATGCTCAGTAAATTCCAAATAGGCCCCGAATGCCAAGTGATTCTAAGTAATACTCAGTAGTTTTCTGATATGTATTACGCCTCGGCGGTAGGAATCCAATTTCTCTTTCAATATTGAGCAAATCTTGCCACTATAATTAGCTCACATTTCTGCTGACAGTTTGACGTCTTCATACACTTTTGCTCTAACGTAAAGTTACAATCGGCTGTATACAGAATTCCAAACTAATTATAATCCATAACTTACTTGTCAGTTATAGATTAAAAGATGTTAACGTTCAATATAGTCATGAACGCATAGTAATTTATATTATTTTTGTAGCACGTATTTGTATTGTATACAATATTATCATGCATTTCTTTCTGTAGTTTAAACAAAGTGTATATGAAACGAATGTATGAACACTTGGCTGTCGATTCTACAATACCAAGCATAAGCATGGAAATGGCTTTTTCATCATTGCTTAGAAAGTATAATGTAAGTGTAATAAAGTATAGACATTGCATGAAAAAATCCGATTGCTGTACGTTATCTGTTAAGTTGTTCGTTTTAAGCACCTGAGTGTAGAGTATCAGACAGAGCAACCGAGTTAATAGATTAACTATTGTATATAGATTGAATCTGTCTTTGATCATAGACATCATCTGCAGGAGTGCTACGGCGTTTAATAGATGCAGTATTTCGGTGCTTTCGTGTAAAAGCACCAACACCAACACAAACACCAGTCATAGCAGTAGAAACCAGCCGTAGCCTGTGTGGGGGGGGGCAGCTGCCCCCTAGATTTTGGAGCAAAATTAAAAAAATAAATTGTTCTACTAAAAGAGAATTGTCGTAGTCAGAATGAAGGCTGTACAGTCATGTACTCAGAAGTGATTCAAATACCATTTCCTGCGATCAACCGTACGTAGCAGCAGCAGCAGCAACATTAACAGTACCAGTACAATCGACAGTCAGTTAGTAGCAACCGTAGTAGCAGCAAAAACAACAGCAGCCGCATTCGCAGCACACTATATCACGAATATGTTTCTTCGGTTGTCGTGTGTCTTGTCATCTTGTCTCCTGCCGTGGCGGCTCTCAACCGATCTTTGTTCGTTTCTCTCTCATTATCCCCCTGTACTGACTCCCTTCCCCCATTCCCGCCTCTTCGTCTCCCTCTGTCTCTCCTTTTCACAATTCCTACCTTATCTTCCTCCTTTACCCCCCTTTTCTATCTCTTCTTCATCGCGTGAGCGCGTGTGAGCGTGTGTATGTGACGTGTGTGCGTAAGCGCGTGTGTGCGTGAGCGCGCGTGTGTGCTGATCGTGTGTGTGTGATGTGTGTGCGTGAGCGCGTGTGTGCGACATGTGTGCGTGAGCGCGTGTGTGTGACGTGTGTGCGTGAGCGCGTGTGTGCGACATGTGTGCGCGAGCGCGTGTGTGCGACGTGTGTGCGTGAGCGCGTGTGTGTAACGTGTGTGCGCGAGCGCGTGTGTGCGACGTGTGTGCGCGAGCGCGTGTGTGCGACGTGTGTGCGCGATGACGGCGTGTGTGTGACCGTGTTTGCCGTGCGTGTGTGGCTGAACGCGTGTGTGATTCGACGTGTGTTGCGTGAGCGCGTATTGCGATGTATGTGTGTGCGACGTGTATCGTGAGCGTCGGGTGCGACGCGTGTCTACTGAAGCGCAGTGTGTGCGGAGCGCGTGTTGTGGCGTGAACGCGGTTGCGGTGAGCGCGTTGCTGTGCGTGAGCGCGTGAGTGCGACTGTGTGTGCGACGTGTTGGGTGGAGCGCGTGTGGTACGTGAACGCGTGTGATTCGTGAGCGCGTGTGTGCGTGAGCGCTGTGTGTGTCAGTTGAGCGCGTTGTGCGATGTGGTGCGGAGCGCGTTGGGCTGAGCCCAGTGGTGTGATGTGTGTGCGATGAGCGCCTGTGTGCGACGTTTGCGGAGCGCGTGGCGCGAACGTGTGTGCGTGAGCGCGTGTGTTGCTGAGCGTGGTGGCAGTGAGGCGGTGTGTCGCGTGCGGTCGCGTGGTGTGGCGTGAGCCGCGTGTGTGGCGTGAGCGCGTACATTGCGACGTGTGTGCGGAGCGCAGTGTGTGGCGTGAGCGCATGTTGCTGAGCAGTGTGTGTGGTGATGTGTGTGCGTGAGCGCGTGTGTGCGTGAAGCGCGGTGTGTGCGTGAGACGCGGTGTGTGTGACGTTGTCGTGCGTGAGCGCGTTATGTGAGACTGTGTGCGTGAGCGCGTGTGTTGTGGACGTGTGTGCGACGTGTGCGTGAGCGCGTGGGCACGACGTGTGTGCGTTCGCGCGAGTGTGTGGGCTGAGCGCCGTGATGGAAAGCGTGAGCGCGTGTGTGCGATGTGTGCGTGAGCTCGCGTGTGGTGCGAATGTGTGTGCGTGAGCGCGTGGGTCGATGTGTGTGCATGAGCGCGTGGTGCTGAGCCGCGTGTGTGTGACTGTGTGCTTGAGCGCGTGTGTGCTAGAGCGCGTGTGTGAATGTGTGTGCATCGAGCGTGCCGCGGGGGGAGGTGTGTGCGATGTGTGTGCGTGAGCGTGTGTGGTGCGACGGTTTTCTGTTGAGCGCGTGTGTGCGTGAAGCGCGCGTGTGTGCGATGTTTCGTGACCGTGTGTACGTGTGTTTCGACCGTGTTGCGTGAGCAGCGTGTGTGCGCACGTGTGTGGCGTGAGCGCGTGTGTGCGATGGTGTCTGAGCGCGTGTGGCGGTGTTCTGAGCGCGGTGTGATGCGAGTGTGTGCATGACGCGAGTGTGTGCTGAGAGCGTGTGTGATGTGTGTCGTGAGCGCGTGTGGCGATGTGTGTTGCGTTCGACTGTGTGTGTGAGCGCGGTGGTTCGTGAGCGCGTGTGTGCGACGTGTGTGCGTGAGCGCGTGTGGCGACGTTGTGCGTTGAGCGCGTGTGTACGATCGTGTGTCGGCTTCGAGCGCATGTGGCGTCGAAGCCGACGTGTGTGCGACGTGTGTGCGTGAGAGCGCTGTTGTGCGACGCGTGTGCTGAGCGCGTGTGTGCGTGAGCGCGTTGTGTGCGACGTAGTCCGATGAGCGCGTGTGTCGTGAGCGCGGGTGTGTGCGACGTGTGTGCGTGCGTAACGCGTGTTCGCCGGTGATACGTGTTCCTGTGTTGCACGTGGCGGTTGTAGTCAACAGCGCGCGTGTGTGTATGTGTATGTGCGTGTGTGATGTGTTGTGCAGTGCGGCGTGTGTCGTGTGCGTGTGGCGCGGTGCGTGTGTCGGCGTGCGCGTGCGCGTGCGCGGTGCGTGCGAGTGCGGCGTGCGCATGTGCGTCGTCGTTCGCATGACCGTTCATGCGTTCCTTCGTGCGTGTGTGCGCACGTGTGTGCCCGGTGTGCATAGCAATTTGTCCGTGTGAGAAGTGCATGTGCAACCTCGTTATTATATTTGCCAGGGGCGAGCCAGTATGTACAACTGTAGGCCCCGTGCCTACACTTTTTGCAAAGTTTATTCTTTTTTTAAAACAGCGCCATAATTCCAAAATCATAAGCTTCGGCGGATCGAGTTTAAGAGTCTAGACAGGAAAAAACATTGAAATGAAACGTAGCAAAAATATGGGCTAAATTAGTGAACGCTATTCTTCTTGTCACTAGGCGGTCATTTCTATCGCGTGCCCGTTTCATTCAACACTCTAAACCCGCTTCGAAAAAGACAGGACCGATCTTGTCAGTGTTTTTAATACATTTTTAACTCGTTCGTACAACTATTTTAACTCTTTGTTTTTGGGTTTAAAGTGATATTGAAATAGGTGTCTCAATAGCAAGTAGCCAAGGCAACCAGTATTGAACACTCGGAAGGGCCGTTTCCGCCACTGGGGGTTTGTAAAAACCTAAAAAATTTCTGTAACGCTCCGCTCAGATAGCCGTGCTCTACAACTTTGAAAATCCTGGCTACGCCTACCTGATTTGTTACCGTATCCCACCATTATCTCCGATGACCAATACATCTAATCATACTATTTGAATTCGTATCGTATGGTAATATGTATGGTAGTGTATCTTCCCTATATGGCGGGCCATATCGCGCCAAACGATCGTGGATGCAATTTTTCACAGGGCGCGTCTCTTAACCGGGCGTGTTCGTAGACTCGAAAAAAAAGCCTGTCCACAACCGTCAACTCGCCGAAAAATCGGAAAAACCAAACCCCGCAATTCGGCAAATCTTCTTCAACAAATGTCAGACACAGCCTATGATATTGAATTTCTTGCCTCACCTCATGATCTCATCAGCTGCCTCGAAACGCGAATCGTAAACTAAAACAGAGCAAACCACGACGCAGTTCAGAGGTACTACTACCGCCACCTCAGTTCAGAAGTTTTCGTTGCAGATGCTACGACGAGAATGCATTCTACGCATTGCCAAAGCTATGGCATTTTCTGATTCAATACAAAAATTTTTTAATTTCAATGTCAGGTTTGCACGCCAAAAGCATCACTAGACAAGTATCCATGTGGACACAGACCCCACCCGCTGGCCTCCTGATCTATACTAATAATGTGGAATTTCCTTTATTCGGCTACGATCTCAACAACTGGATAGCTGCATCGTGGGAAGCTTAACAGTTCGATACGCCACCGAAATCTCCCACATATTCCGATCCAGGATAAATAACACGAAAAACATTGTTTATCAGAACGTCTTGAAAACGAAAATCTCAACCCATTCCTACATGCTGTTAATATTAACAAGAGCTTTTTGTCATATTTACTCCATATTACCTGCTGAGTAGGGTCGTGCCCCCCCCCCCGTATACTGCGGAACGTACGCGTCTGGGTACGGTGGGTAAACGCGCAACGACCCTGTTAACTATCTAATATGCCGGACAGTATCACATCGCCTACCCCACTACCGAGTCTAGGGATCCGCCTACGCCTATCGCCTAACGCCGTAACCCTACTCCTAACCATACAAATAGTCATCCAGGGTACGTTCCCGGTATACGCTGGGACATAGACCCTATGACTATGAGCCATATTACTATTCCGTCCCAGGTTTCTAAATTGTGGGTGTGCTGTCATATAAATGTCATACCTAAGACCAGTTTTTTCTTCCATCTTATTATCTATAAAGCGATTTCTAATATTGAATATTGTGTGGCATTTATTGTCGAGTTTTTACTCCAATGTTCCTACGGTCCCATTATTAGTACGAAGAATTAGTAGCACGATTTTACCTCACGCACAGGCGGTACGCTCAAGCTAGTCTAATATATATGAGTTCGTATGTAGTATCTATGTTGTATGTATTATCTTTCGCCTATAGGCGGTCAAACCGCCAAGCGGATTCTGATGCATTTCAACTAGGGACCATCTCTTATCTACCCCGGGCGTGTTTCGTACTGAAAAAAACCTGTCAAACCTTCAAACTCGCACGAAAAAATCGTGAAAACCCCTTCCCATTCGGAATCTTCACACAAGTATGTCAGCACCAGGCCTATAACCTATTGATTTTCTTAAGCCGACTCCCACTCATGATCTGCATCAGCTGCTGGCATATGCGAACCCGAA